ACTATGATAGTACCATGGTGTGGAGAAACAACTTGCCAAAGTTGGCTAGAGTGATAAAGGAAACCTGCTCTGAAGAGTGGGCATTTATGTTGAAACCTAAAAAATGGGACTGAGCCAAATCATCAAAGGGCTGGATGAGGGACACTCAAGGCAGGGGAAATAGCAATTGCAAAATCATGAAGAGGGGCTTGTTCAAGGAACAGAAAAAGGATCAGTATGGCTGGAGTGCAGGGTGAGATTTGAGAGTAGCTTGTATTACCTAAGAGCAAAGAAAAGCCATTCACTGCTTTTAATCAGGCTTCTGGCACTTCCAGAAAGCAGAAGTATGCATATCCCTCATTCCCCTCTCTCAACCTATGCCTCCACCATTCCAACATATGAAGGTTATGTTCCAGACAAAACCATGTCCCTTGGTTGAATGAAGTTACCCCTGGCTCCTACCACCTCACCTCGTTCTCCCTGTACTCCTGAATTATTTATGACTGTGAATTTCCTCTACACTTAACTACATATCTGATACTAAAATTACTTTACATAACTTAAATGAAGTTAATTTTCTTAGTACTATACCCTAACCCCTGAAAGAGTTATTCTTTTAACAACATGCCATATTTAGGACTCTTAAGAGTTCTGCTTTACTTATTAGAGATAAAAGATATATGAAAATACCACATTATTATCTCCCTCGTGCCAAACATTGTTCACCATACTGCCTTTTCTCAGTAAAAAATACCACTGTTATCTGGTGGTGGGAATGATTTTTTCTTCCCATTTTTCCTTCACTTCCCAGCAAATAACCCATCACCTACTTATGCTATTTCTTCTTCCATAATATATCACAAATCCCTCCTAGCCTTTTTATTTCTTTTGCAACCATGGTCCAAGCCACAGTCTTCTTTCACACAGATTACTGCAAATAGTCTCCATGTGGTTCTCTGCTTCCAACTTTGACTCACTCACCCATTGTCTACAAGCAGCCAAGGAAATTCTTTAGGAACACAAACTAGAAAACTACGCAAGTCAGGAGTACAGTTAATATATGTTTTATTGGTGTCCTCTGCCTAGAACATTGTACTCTTCTTTGCCTGATTAACTCTTAATCATCCTTTACAATTAAATTCAGGATTCCTTCTAGAATCCTGACCACTACTTTTTCTCCTTTCTCACGAGACTGTGTTGGATATCAGTCTGTGCTCCTAAAGCATTCTAAGCTTCCCTCCATCAAGAGCACCTTATTTCCTTTACTATGTTATGTGTTGACTTGCCTACATATCTGTTTTGCTCACTAGACTATGGGTTGCTTGAGGACAAGGTCTATAACTTTTATTTATATGTGTATCTTATTACCTGAAAAATAATTAGTGCTTAGTAAACTATGTTCATTCATGGCACTCATGAATGACTGAGTACACAAATGCATGTGAACTGAGATGATTAAGAAAGGCTTCATAAAGAAGGTGATACTAGATTTTCTGCTACCATTTATTGAAGAAATAGTCCTTTCCCCATTGTGTGTTCTTTAGCCCTGGTCAAAAATTAGTTGATTGTGTATGCATGGGTTTATGTCTGGGCTCTCTTCCACTGGTCTAGGTCAGTGCCATACTTTTCTGTATTTATTTATGTATTTGTGTCATTGCCATACTTTTCTGATTGCTACAACTTTGTACAATATCTTGAAATCAGGTAGTATAATATCTCCAGAATGCTGTTGGGAAAACTGAATACCCACATGTGAAAGAATGAAACTGGACCACTACCTTATGCCACACAGAAAAAAAAAAATTCAAAATGGATCAAAGACTTAAATGTAAGACCTGAAACTGCAAAACTCCTAGAGGGAAAAATAGGAAAAAAGATCCTTGATATTGGTGTTGGCAATGGTTTCTTTGATAAGACACCAAAAGCACATGCTACAAAAACTAAAATAAACAAGTGTGACCACATTAAACTAAAGACGTTCTGCACAGCAAAGGAAATAATCAACAAATTGAAAAGGCAACCTACAGAATGGGAAAAAATATTCACAAATCATAGATCTCCCAAGAGATTAAGATCCAAAATATATAAAGAACTCATACAACTCAATAGTAAAAAAAACAAATAACCCAAGGAAATTTGGACAAAGGACCTGAATGGAGATTTTTTCCAAAGCAGATATACAGATGGCCAACAGGTATATGAAAAGGTACTCAGCAACATCAGGGAATCATCAGGGAAATGTAAGTCAAGACCACAATGAGGGGGTGCCTAGGTGGCTCAGCTGGTTAAGCATCTGTCTTCGGCTCAGGTCATGATCTCAGGGTCTGGGATCGAGCCCCTCATTGGACTCAGCGGGGAGTCTGCTTCTCCCTCTCCCTCTGCCCCTCTGCTCTTCTGCCACTCTCCTTCCTCTGCCCCTCTCTGCTTGTGGGTGCTCTCTCTCAAATTAATAAAATCTTTAAAAAACCCCACAATGAGCTATTACCTCACACTTCTCAGAATGGCTAGTATCAAAAAGACAAGAGAACAAATGATGGTAAGAATGTGGAGAAAAGGGAACTCTTACACACTGTTGGTGGGGATGTAAATTGGTACAGCCATTACGGAAAACAGTATCGCAATTCCTCAAAAAATTAAAAGTTGAACTTCCATATGATCCAATAATCCCACTCCTGGGAATACACCTGAAGGAATTAAAATCAGCATCTTGAAGAGATATCGGCACTCCCATGTTCATCGTAGCATTACTTACAATAGCCAAGATACGGAAATAACCTAAATGTCCTTCACTGGATGCCTGGATAAAGAAAATTTTTATGTATGCCTGTGTATGTGTATATATTATAACATTTATACATTTAAAATTTATATATATAATGTATATGTGTATGTGTGTATAGTGTGTGTGTGTGTGTGTGTGTGTATATATATATATATATATATAAATTTATCCAAGTTACCTCCTGGAACAGTTTGGATGAGGCAAGGGAATATTCTGATCAAATACTCCAGCTGCGCAGTTGTTCTGAGTCATGTTTTTATCATGATCTGGCCAAATTTCTGTGCTGTGGGATTTTACCATGTTAAAGTAATTACCCTCAAAAGCTGTTTTACAGAGTGATTAAAATCCTCTTCAGAACAGCAACCAGGGCACAAGAAAGCCTCTGGATGGGTAATAGTTCAGCTTGTTTCATGAGAGAAAAACTGCATTTTTAAGCCTAATGATCAATGAGAATATAATGAAGCCCATGAAACTGAATATACCACCCCATCCTGAGAGTAATGAGATTAACTTTGTGTATCTAATGGAGAATACAACTTATTATACCATATATATTTATAATTCCTAGAATTTGCCTCACCCTTAGGGAGAAGTGGAAGTGGTGACACAGGATTTTACAAGTAGAAGCATACATCTTTTAATTAAAGACAGCATTAGATGTCTGAAAATACGTACCTATATGAGTCTTACTAATACTCTCAAAGGGAAAAGATCTCAAAGCATGGATATGTACATACATATGCATATCTATTAATGCATATGCATGTATCTATGTACATGTGTATGCATGTGCATAGACAGATGTATGTGTGTACATACATTTTTATAATTTTTGATCTTTTAATTTGTATTATTATAGTAATAATAATACGTGTTCCTGATTTACAATTTCAAATAGTAGAAAGGGGCATACACAAGATTAAAATGCTTTCTGCTTTTCCCTCTGCCCCACTTCTTTGAGGGGCACACTACCCCACTTTTTAATACAAATTTTACAAGTTAATGTTATGGTTGCAACCATAAACCGAAATGTTATTAAACCTTTATTTTTTTTGTCAGTTTATTTTCTTCAGTTGGATGCTGTCTCTAGGCATCTTACCATTGTAGCTGAAATTTAGCAGTTACATCACCTACTACTTCTATTTTCTTTTCTTTCCAAGCCTCATTTTTGTTTTTCTAATTTTTTGTCCTTCTTGTAGTTATATTTCTTTACTGTAAAATCATACAGATCTCTACTTTTAGTCCATAATTGTTAAACAGTATCTACTAATGCCTTGCCATGTAAGAAGAGGAAGTTACCTAATATATGGCTTCTCCCCTCTGCTTTTCCTCTTCTTACTTTTGTCAGTTATGACATGAAGTAGACATTTTCGGGGTTCCATGATTTACAACATTCATGTTCTGTAACTAAACTTAACTCTCTTGAATATTTAGCCTACTCTTCATTTTAAAGATAGGTAACAAATGAAAACAATATTATGAATAGGTAAAATATATCTCTAAATAAACAATACTATAATTCAACAAAAGAAAAGAAATTCAATTCTATTTCATGAAATTTGTCATTCAGATAAGAATTTTCTACATGTCTAGCTAAAGAGAATTCTCTTATACTCAAGTATTTGCTCAAAATTATTTCAAATTACATAAATAATTTTAATATGTTTTAGTTTTTTTACATTTTTATTTATTTATTTTAAAGATTTTATTTATTTATTTGACACAGAGAGAGCACAAGTAGGCAGAGTGGCAGGCAAAGGGAGAGGGAGAAGCAGGTTCCCCACTGAGCAGAGAACCTGATGAGGGGCTTCATCCCAGGACCCTGAGATCATGATCTGAGCCAAAGGCAGATGCTTAACTAACTGAGCCACACTGGTGCCCCAGGTTTTGTTTGTTTTTGTTTTTTTTTAATTTTAAATGTTTTCCAGAGTTCTATTCTTTTCTTTCTTTTTTTTTTTTTAAGATTTTATTTATTTATTTGACAGAGAGCGACACAGCAAGCGAGGGAACACAAGCAGGGGAATGGGAGAGGGAGAAGCAGGCTTCCCGCTGAGCAGGGAGCCCGATGCAGGGCTGGATCCCAGGACCCTGGGATCATGACCTGAGCCAAAGGCAGACAGACGCTTAATGACTGAGCCACCCAGGCGCCCCTTTTTGTTTGTTTCTTGTTGATTAAGGAAACATATGAAGATCTTTATTTTCCTAACCACACCATCTACTAATTAAACCCACTTTCTTCCTGCAAATATTCTTGCTGTTCTAATTTTGTAATAATCAGGGGAGGTTAAATATACACTATATTAAGACCATGCACGTGTCCCCAGACCTACTTCTTTCTCTAGGTCTGGTTTTATAAATGCTGTGATAAACAAAGTCTGATTTATATGATGCATCCTATGTGGGAAATGTCTGTGACCCTAGGTACCTGATCATTCTTTTTTTTTTTAAAGATTTTATTTATTTTATTTGCGAGAGAGAATGAGAAAGAGAGAGCACATGAGAGGGGGTAGGGTCACAGGGAGAAGCAGACTCCCTGCTGAGCAGGGAGGCCGATGCGGGACTCGATCCCGGGACTACAGGATCATGACCTGAGCCGAAGGAAGGCGCTTAACCAACTGAGCCACCCAGGCGCCTGGTACCTGAGCATTCTTGAGAAATGACAGCACAGCTAATATAATATCTTTTGAAGATAACCATTACTAATTTAATGATTACCAGTTGCCATTAAATGAATTATGAAAAAGAAACCCTTTCTTCTTGCAGACAACTTTATGAATTCACTTTTCGGTCTAGTTTGGATCTACTGCTTTCCAGGCCTACTGCACATTGTCATCTCTGGTTTTAACTATCTGGTTTCCTACTTTATAGTTCCTACTGGCCTTGTGTTAAATCTTTTTATATCTCGGATGTATTTACCATTTTGTTTAAATATATATTCAAGAAAACTCTTAAAAATAAGTAGCTATGAGACATAAAATATCTCCATTTTTTTTAACTAACAATTGGATTTGGAATTACGAATTAAAGGTCAATTTAACTTTGAACTTTGAAGGCAAGACCCCATTACCATCAAGCTTGTTATGGGTGGTAGCCAAATGTGATCCCAATCTGAGTTCTTATTCCTTTGGAAGCAACTTGTTTATTTTTTCCATTCTGAAAGCTCATGTAATTTCTCTTCAAATTCAGAAATTTTGCCACAATACTCTAGGCTCAAATCTTTTTATCCCATTCTATTTGTTAGCAAATTCTTTAATATAAAAAATGACTTAAGATCATTGAAATTATATTCTTTTATAATTTTAAAAATTTTAAAATTTTTATAATTTTATCATTTTTCTCTTAAAATTTCTGTATTAATTCCAGAATTTCTATTTAGTAGATGTAACAATATTTACCTTGATACTTTGTATTCCTTAATTTCTCTCATTTTCTCCGTATTCTGAGAAAGTTCATCATTCTCTCCTTGAGGATGAACAATTTGATTTAAACCAGATCTATTGTATTATTTAACCATTCTATGGACTTTTATAGATTTTAGGAATCACATTTGAAATTTCTAAGAAAGTTTAGTTTTATGTAACTACTTTTTCTTCCATTGCAGTATTTACTTTTTATTGCTCATCATAATTTTTAAAGTTCTCTTTTGTTCCTTAAAATGTCTCTGGTTCTTTTTCTATTTTTTTTTTGTTGTTGTTGTTGTTGTTGTCAGCTCTTTTTATTCATCTTTTCTCTTGCTCGCTGTTGCATTTCCTCAAATGTTTGATGATATTTGATGATTCTTGGTTAGACAGATTCATATTTATGAACAAGGTACTCAGCAGCTAAGTAAAGAGAGATGGCAAGGGTATTCCCTGTAGGTTTGTGGATCTGTTTCTCTGAAGTCCTGTCCTATCTGTGGGAAAGTTGCCTATAGAATTTGTGTGGCACAGGGGCGCCTGGGTGGCTCAGATGGTTAAGTGTCTGCCTTCGGCTCAGGTCATGATCCCAGGGTCCTGGGATCGAGTCCCGCATCGGGCTCCCTTCTAGGCGGGGAGCCTGCTTCTCCCTCTGCCTCTGCTTCTCTCTCTCTCTCTCTCTCTGACTCTCATGAATAAATAAATAAAACATTAAAAAAAAAAGAATTTGTGTGGCCCATCGAATGGCAGGCACCGCATCAAGATGACCCAGGGCAATGGTTAAGTACATGGGACTCTTGAACCACACTTCTACACATGTCTCAGCTCTAGTACTTTCTAGCTGTGAACTTAGGCAAATTACTTAATATTTTTGTGCCCTAGCCAGTTTCCCTATCTCTTAGATGACGATAATATTGTGACCTACCACAGGGCTGTTGTGAGAATGAAATGAACTAATATAATTTACATAAAGAATTAGGGAAGTATTGGCAATATTATTAGGAGCCAGGGGGTGCCAAGAGCAGTCAGATCAGGTAGCGGCTCATCACATATGAAAATAAGAAGGGCAATATCAGGAACAGAGCAGTTGGCAGCATTGTCTTGCCTTTGATCCTCAACTGTCCCCACCCTTAAGTTTTCTTTGTTACTTTGATCTTTTTTGCTTCTCTCTTAAGCAAAAACACTCATGGCAGTTTTCCCCTAGGCAAACAGTGTAGTTTCTACAGAAAGCAGTTTTATGGGTTTATCCTGGGACAAATGCTAGGCACCCCTTCCCCTGTTTCTGGGCGCCTATAGGAGAGGAGGTGCCACCTGAGGAAGCTATTCGATAGGCAGTCACTAGTTATCCTGATTCTGAGCAAATATTGTATTTTTTTTTCTGTAGCTGCAGTTGTGGCTTTGAGTCTCTTTCAAGCCCACTAGGGAGAAGAGCTCCTGCTTTTGCTGATCATATTTTAGGCTTCAACCTCTTCTGCTTTGGTTTCTCAGTCAATATAATTGCATCCAATTATAAATTGCTCTAAAGAATCAACTTCTCTGATGTGCTAATGAGAGGTATTTTTGTTTTCAGGGCTGCTTACGATTATGTACATCTATGCATCCTTGCTACCATTTCATAGTTAGGAAGAGGGGGAAAAAAAAAAAACATATGTTCCGTGTTCCATCTTTAACCAGAACTCCTACACAGATGTAAACTTAGGCAAAAATACATTGCTTCTTAAGAACAAAAATAGCATTTTGATAATTATAAGATTTTTTGTTTCCAGTTTATAGTAACATCCCCAAATAAATGTATTTACTTCTTCTTTGTCATTTCTTTTTTACCATAGAAGTATATGATTTTTTTT